ATAAAAAAACTACTGAAGATCGTAAACAATGTGCAAGGATTGTAAAAAAACATTGCGAATTATTGGAGGCGCTGACTTTCAATTGTTTTCGTTAATCCTTTCATTGTTTTTTTTAATTTCGAGAGTACTTATTTTTATTTTAAAATTATAATAATAAATTTGTAACTATTAAATTTTAATCTTTACTGTAATACTAGAATGCTATTTATAAAGACATTCATTGATGTAATTGTGAATGTTTATTGATGCATTATATTATTTACTACAAAAAATCATATGTCAAATCGCTGAAAGCACATTATGAGACGTCACTTCTAGTTTCCTTGAGCAAATTTTTCTGAATCTTCTGAAATGTATGATAATATTGCATTGAGTTACTTGTGATATATTATAAAGACGCGGTATTCAATATGTTTAAGAATTGCAAGAGGCAAACTCTGAGATTTTATTTAAATTTTGGTTGATTACGAAATGTTGTCTCTTACCAGCGTGTAGCTTCTTCTCTTTTTTTTCAGTCCAAAAAACGCTTCTACGATTTTTCCATTGACAAAGCATCGTTATTGCTTTCGGATCGGCGGTTCCGCACTGCTGCACAAGATGGATATATTGATCGATGATTTCTTGCCCTGTTAAAAAAAACGAAGGCATTTTAAATGCGTTTCATATTACAGTTTATATGTTGAAGAAGTATATAACTAGCCTTTCGAAACTCCGGCAAGGGCTCGCGCCTTATCAGCATCGTTGGATAAACCGAGTTTGTTATACAATTCAAAAGATTTTTCCAAATGAAAGGTTGCAATATCTAGCTTTCTCTAAAAAGAATACAGACATTGTTAACTCTCCAAGGAAATATTCTATTAATATTTTACGACACTGATCACTTAGCGGATATGTAATAATTTGTATATATTTAAGGTATTTTGGCCCGTATTCAGAACGCTCTTTTATCGATAAATGTGCATTTTTATTTCTGAAATTCTAAGCAAATCTGTATATGTAATGTGAAATGTATATGCTAGGCATTATCGTTACCAGCGCGTTTCTGATGGGTCATTTTGTACAACATAAGAATTCAGGAAAATGTAATAATTTCTCACATAAGATATTCCTCAATAATCTTGTCATTTCTATCCTCTCCCCCTTTTTTGTTATCCAACATTTTACGATTTTATACCTTATTCAAAAAATGCTCGCCAGTACAGTAGTGTGCCTGTGCCGCTTTTCTCGTAAGTCCAGACTCGACTGCATTTACTATAAATAAATGGAGATACTTCTCCGTGTTTACATCGTCGTTCAATTCCTACAAATATGAATCGCTCGTAAGAATTACGTCAAAAATTCGCGTTTTTTTCGAAATTAAGATCGCATAGTAAATGCGCGCATGTGCGATGATAAAACATAGGTAAAAAAATTTTTGGAATTTTTTTATTCGACGTTCTCCACATTAATCATTCTATTAATCTTTCGTGACACATAACTTGTATGCAAGTGCTATCATCATGTACGCGTTGCATATTTTCTCTGGGTCCGAAAGTCTCTTAACTATCGCCAGGAATTTGGAGAAGTTTTGGAAGGCAAGTTTCACATCGCCTGATCGCAACTGATTTATCCCCAGCTCGTATAGAACGTTCGCTATGTATTCGTAATGCCCAGCTGCGGATGTGAGGCTGATTAATGATATCGTAGGATAAGGTTTTCTTTTATAATTTCAAGAAAACTTTCAAGAATTTTACTGATAATGAGAGACTAATTGATACAGTGAAAACAGTGAATTTAACGATCTTCGAGAGAACCAAACTTGAAATAATAGGATAACATTTTAACAAAATCCTGAAGTGGTATAACTCTCAATAGGTAAATATTTTACTATTCCTCTTTCTTTTTTTAAAAAACAGCTTACAGTCCGTCGCTCGAGCGAGAGCTTCGGTGCATGCTTTCACAGCGACATCCGGTTGATCGCAGCCGACTTGTTGTGCGTGCATCAGTAATACTTTGTATAGAAGCACGTTGCATTCTCGAAAGATGGTTTCTTCTTTTCGACCAGTTATCTTCGACGCATTCCATGACTTCTTCCAAGACGCTTTATGTACGATATTTAAGTGATATAGCGATCCTGCCATATCTTGTACTGATTGCACCACGTGAATGTAATTGTATTGATATTAATTTATAATACTGACTTATAATGATCGACTACGTTTAACAGAAAAAGTAACTTAATTATACTTTTACTTTAATTATACTTTACATTAATTATACTTTTAGATCGAAATGAGATAAAATTATTTTTATCAATGTAAAGATATAATTCAAAATTATAATATCTAAGTTGCTTTTTCTGTTTAATGTAGCTATTATAATCTATATGCAAATATACTACGTATGTAAATATTTTATTAATAAATATTCAATTCAAGCATATTGAAACGTAGTATATTAATTGCGAAAAAAACATTGAAACTGTGACTATTTATATAGAAAGTGAACAGGAAGTGACACTTGCCCGCCATTCATTTGCTAATTTGCATATAATGTGTTTCGCTAACTTTGTTCGAACAGAAATCGGCCGTACAGGTAATGTACGAAGGTGCTCATCTGATGGTTATCGTCTTCGATTAATTCAGCGTTCTCCAGAGCGCTACGGTAAAGTCGCTCTGCCACCCACCACCATTCCCAAATCATTGCTTGAAAGGATAGCGCCATATTTAGAAATTCTGCAGCCGTAGAAATATAATCTCCTATTCAGAAAATTTTTAACCGTAATAATCATACTCGTACTCTGTACATCGTACTTTCGTCTCAAATGTCAAAGATCAAATATAGGAATTATCATCACGATTGTGTGTGATCCTCTCACTTCAATTGTTATTGAGAACAATGGTTTCACTCTTGTGTTTCGCAAATGAATATTAATGATTCTATCCGGAAAGGTTTTGTTATTGAAATATTTAAAAATTTAGCCGGATGTAGATCTGAAAATAATTTTGTTCCAATCATCAAAATAATTATATATGTGGAAAAGTCAAGAATGATGAGCAATGTTGCAAAAAATGTTTATATTCTAGTAATTAACTTGAATATTTTTCAACAAAATTATTGTTCAAATTACTCAGAAAATTATTTCCAAAATTATGTCATTGTTGATTATTTTTGTATCTGTATATCTAGCTAAATTTTTAAACGTTTCAACAAATCGTTCCGTGTATACATCAATTTTCTTTCTCACCAGCATTTTTGGCTTGCTCGACAATGATCAAGCCATCCCTTAAGCGCGACATTGCGTTCTTGTTCTTCTTTAAGCGTGGCTTCTCCCATATTAGAGTACCAGGATCAGCCTTCCTACGAATCTCCTCGTCGAGTTCAAATAATTCTTTCAAATATTGGATCGATTCCTCATAGTTGCCTTCTTTGAGCTCGTCAATGATCGCTTCGTGAGGTAATAAATGAAATCTACTCGAAGAAAGAGCAATATCGATTATAAAAGAGTTTGATGGAACATTTATATTTTATTTACAATTCGGATAAAAAGAAAGAAAGGATAATTGAGATAAATGACAGTATAAATAAGCATCGCGATGAGGCACCTCAAAAAAAACAGAAGGAAATTGAGAGAAAAAATAAGAGATAATTCAGTTCAGCCCACTTTTGATTTCAATATTAATAAAATCATTCTTGTGATAATTGCTATTATAATTTCTATTATAATTACATTAATTATACTATTCGATGTGTTTGTATGTAAAACGAAAGAATCTGGTAGGGAAAAAAAAGAGTCGTTTTGAAAGAGAGGATATATTTTTTATTCCAAAAAAATAAAGCACCTTCTCACTTCTGAAGACGTTAATATCGGAAGCATCGCCTTCAGTTCGTTCTTAACCTTCCCCATCTCCCCTGATCGGACTCCCGCGAGAGTTTTGATCGTCGTTGCTTCTGTAATCTCGGGATTAGCTTTCGATAGTTCTCCGGGAAAGCCCTTTCGAATTTGTCTCCCGAATGTTCCTAAGTCACGTTTTTGCACATCTTTGAGCCGGCCTTTCATTTCATCTCAGTCGCGTGATCGGGAACGAGGAATAGTCGGTTCTCAGATTTTGCAACTCGATAAGAGCCGCGATTTATTATATATGCACGAGATAAATATAACTGATAAATGTATGTTATACAATGATAGGATCAATAATATATAACATGTACATGTAACTTCATAGCGTTTGTTTTACTCGTGCGCGTATAAGATGCGATTCCTCGAAAAAAGGCCATCGCGAGATCGAGACTCGAAATTCGCGGCTCGCCTCCTCATCTTCCTAAATCCTCTATCTAACTATGTTATAAAGAGATACAGCTTTAAGCGGTGACGGCTGCCTGTTTTCTCGGCATCAATTTGATCTTGAAACCCTCCGCGCGCTTGAGGATGATGTCGCCCTGAAGTCTAAAATCAGACTCTTTGATGTCTGATTTGACGTGGTAATTCCTCATGATCGTAGACAGGATGATCTTCAGCTTCAGCATAGCGTATTTGCGACCCACGCAGGAACGTGGTCCAGCTGAGAACGGCACGAAGGCGTAATAGTGCCGATTGGCGGTCTTTTCCGGTAGGAAGTTATCGGGATCGAAAACTTCCGGATTCGGATAGATGTTTGGCTGCCGATGCATCTTAAAGGTCGTTACTATCACCGTGCTCCCAGCTGGGATCGTATAATCTCCCGATACTGAAATAGCAATTGTATAATTTTTTTAGAAATATAATAAATTATTTGAGAAAAGAAAAGAAGTCGATAATACTTCATCTTGCCTTCTTTTCATGCATTCCAGTTTTAAGAACTCACCCAATTTCAAGTCTGTTTTGATGGTACGTGCGATGATGGGGACAGGTGGGTACATACGAAGAGTCTCCATGAGGCATCGTTCGAGGTATTTCATCTCTAGTGTGTCCTGGAAGGTCGCAGGTCTGTCGCTGTCGCCAAAGATTTCATCGAGTTCCTGGATAACTTTTTCTTGAATGTCCGGATGACAGCCCATCATCGACAAGAAGAAGCTGGATGCAGCCGCGGTTGTGTCATGTCCCTATAAAAATGAATGACAGAACTTATTAATTATTAAGACAGCTTATTAATTACAATTTGATCTTCTCAAAGTAGTCAGTAGGCTAATATTTATGTTCTTATTTCAAGATCATTTTAAATAATGTCTTGAAATAATGCGTTTCTCTGATGGATTTATGATATCTTAAGCCAGCCTTAAATATAAGAATCGACTATGAATATCAGTCTGAGTCATATCTCACGACCCACCTCGAACATAATAGTATCGACCTGTTCCTTGACTTCTTCATCTGTTAGCACAGTGCCGTTCTGACCGGCCTCTATCAACAAATCGAGGAAAGCTTGCCTCTTTTTTTCACCAACGTCATTGTCTTCTACATCGAGGTCGTCTTTTAGACCAGCCGCCTGTCCAAAGGAAAGTCCTTCCACAGATGTGCTCTAAGAACAATATATTATGTGTTAATAGTCCATCGCTCAATGTAGCTTTTTCTGAAAATTATCCAATTTGAAAATTATCTACTTTAGTGGTCTTGCCGTTGCTATTTTGCGTAGACTCGTCAATGATATTACGTTTGCCGTTCTTGAATTCCTGCTTCTTGCGTGCGATAACTTTCTTTGTGAGTCCGTGGATGATCTCTAACAAACGGATTTGATCTTTTCCGTATTTCGTAAGATTAAACAGCCAGTCCGGTCTGAGCCAGACTTTCGTGTGACGCAGATGGAGAATATCGCACATCCTACATAACGATAAGATAGTAATGAGATATCCGTTTTATATATTTCTTCAACATGAAAATATTCAAATATTTCAAGGAATAAAATTGCATAAAAAATTTTACAACTTGTTGATAATGTTCTTTTACAAATCTAAATTTCTAAGAAAAAGAAACTTCCAAGATCTTATAAATTCAAAATATTGTAGATACAAAAAAAAGTCAAACCTAGCTGGGAATATGTTGATCAGAGAATTTTCAATTAAAATCGATTAAAAATAAACTATAAATATAAAACAACTCCCGATGTCTTTCTTTTTTGTCTCTATTTCCAAATTCATCAAATCTGAAATTTGCGTATTGAATACGTGCTTCATAACAGCCATGGCATATTCGAAGCCGCTTCGGTCTTGCGTGGACTTGGAGACACCCATGGCAGTCTCGAGAAGGATCTCGACGGTGCATTCGGACATATAGTCGTGGCAATCGAATTCTTTGTCGCCTTCCTTACGCATTCGTTCCACCACCGCACGCGAATTGGCGTTAAAGAGATCGATGAAACTCTTAAGTACGTTTAAGTGAAACGTCGGCGCGATTAATTTGCGATGAGCGCGCCATTTTGAACCTGTAATAAATCATTTTTAAACCTGTAATAATCATTATTATCAATTTATTTTTTATAAATAACAAAAGTCCTCATTTCTTTGCTGTGATCGAATCTGAAGTGATTCATCCTGAATATTTTCAGCGAATTGTCATGATGCGAGACGAATTAGAATTATTATTATTAATCCAGAAGTAATCACTTTATTTTTTTTTTATATAAACGATCATCTATGGTGTTTTTGTAACACTAAAGATTGCATTTAATTAATAATTTTCGTTTCTAATTATATTATGTGCAATCTTTTATTATACTTGTTATAATATAAAAATTCTATTGTGACGAACACGTGATAAAACAAATAAAAATTGGACAGACAATACGTATTAACTAATGTTATATCAGTAATATTAATATTAATAGTGGAACAAAATTAGAAGAGAAGAAAGAGAAAGAGTTTATATTTCATGGAGATGTATGTAATTTTAACGTAAATTTCCATTCCCTCCCCCCCTCCTTCCTGTTGTATTCGGTCCGTGTTTGAAGACTTTCTATCGAATATACGGAAGCAGGAAGAAGAAAGAGCGGGGGAGAAAGAGTCAGAGAGAGAAAGAGCAAGATAATGCATTACAACGCGTGAGAGAGACAGAAGATGTATACTTTATGACTATAAATATTGAAGTACACTTATATTTGAACTATTCAGCAAACGAGAATGGATTAAAATGGATTGAAATTTTTTTCTATCCGAATTTTAAATAGCGAATATTTTTTTTGGATTTAATTGAGTTCAATTGAATTCAGTTAGATTCAATTGGATGCAGTTAGATTGAAAAACTGCATTTCCTATTGAACATTTTGAATTGAACAGTATTCACAATGCACAGAAAATCTAATATTATTTTTAGATTGAAAGGCATAGAGATATGCTCTATGCAATTCCTATAAATGAATAAAAATGCATTCAGGATTGAAAAGCTTTCATTTTAACATTCGTGAATCAATATTTCTGAAAATCTGAATCCATTTCAATTCATGTTAATCCATTTTCGTTTGTTGAGTAAATAAAAATAGACACTTAGAAAGAATGTTTTTGCTGAAGTATCTAAAAATTTAGCTAAATCTTAAAGCTAAATCTGAAAATATATTGTTGGACTCAAAATAATTACATAAGAATCTCAAACATGATGAGTAACAAATTTTGACATTTCAGTCAACCAGTTTGAGAGTTTTACATAATTATCTGATAATTCAACGAAATTATTTTCAGATCTGTTGTATCTTTTTTAATTTAATTAAATTAAAAATTTTTTTTAAATTTAATCCTCAACAAAACTATCCTTTCTTTTGAAATTTGGCGAAAGCAAGATAGAAAGTGCAGTTCAGTGCAGCGATAAAGAACAAACCCGGAGAGACAGAGATCGTCGTAATTGTGCAATGATAAGAAAGACTGCGATGCGCGCATATGTGCGCAGGGAAACGGAGCTAAGGAGAGAAAGCACCGGCGCGCGTGCAAATTTCCTTCCTGTTTTGCGTCTCGTGGATTACTCGGACTGATTGCATTTCACTCTCCATCCTCTCTCTCTCCCCCGCATTGCTCTTTTTAAATGCAAGTGCGTTGTCTCGTGCGACACATACCATGCACATAGGCGTCGAGACTCTCCAGATATTAAAACACAAAATCGTAATAAGATAACATTAAGTTAAAATGATTTCATAAAATCATAAAAAATTCTAATGATGATTATTCGACACATTTTTTTGACTATAAATTTGTGATAAATTGATGCTGAACTCTTAATAATTTTTAATTAAAAAATCATTATCATGTCAATAAGTGATATTTTAGTTAAAAATGATTTCTCGTGTCATATATGTATCGCTTGTATTTGAATTATTATGTAAAAAAATATATGGAACAAATCTATTGATCTTGAAGGTTGTTCATTCCGATTCTTATTTCAAAATCATCTTACGTAATATTAAGTTTACAAATAGTTTATTTAAGTAAATCAACTACAAAGAGTTAATATTTTTTATAATAAGTTCTTTTTCAGATGTTATATAATAACATTAAAGATCTGATTAAATTTGGAGAAATTATTAATATTTCACATTGGTTGTATTAAAAGACCGAAAATAATCAGCGCGCAGTTTCTGAGATAAATTTATTTAAAAATACATATACATGTTAATCTAATATCTAACTTTGACGCTTTTTTATTTTAATTAATTTTAAGACGCTAACATAGTTTTGTACATAACAGGTTTATGATTGTATTTAAGATATATTTTAATATATTGTAGATTGTATTAAAATGGATCTTAAATATAAAAAAATTTATGAATACCGATCAAAATCTGTTCTCACTACAAGTTTAAATAATCATTTTAAGTAATATCTTAAGATACTAATATTGTTCTGTGATTGATTTATGATACTTTATTGGCAATGATTTATTTACTTTATGTATGTTTTAAGATTGTATTTTAGATGGTTTTAAATATATAAACATCTAAAAATTTAATTAAATACAAATCTGAAAATAATTTTGATGAACCATCAAAATAATTCCATTAAAGCCTAACGAAAAACATTGTAAAAGTTTTGACATTCTAGTGATCAGCTTGAGTTTCTTAATTGTTATAATAGTCTTACAGAATTATTTTCAGATCTGTCTCTAATTAAAGTCTTAAATATTTTCAACAAA